TATTTATCTTTTTTCTTTTCCACTCTTCCCGCTTTAGAAATCAATCAACTCTTTTACAAACCTGTTAATTCCAACCAACTGCCTCATAACGTCCACCAATTTGATCAGTTCATTTCCCAAGTGACCGGTTTTAATGAGATATGAACAATAACAAGCATATGCCGGCCTGGTCAATTGTTCCTCGGTCAACTCGTCCAAAGTCTTCACTTTGCTCCAAAATTTTATTCCAGCTCTTGATACCTTTTTCGGGGCTATCGAGTACGGTGGTAATGGCGATCGACGCTCGAGGGCATTAGAGAGAATATGGAATGCCACTAGGATATGCGTGACGTAATACCTCTTTGATGGTCGTTTGAGCACATTACGAAGGTTCTCTTTCCATTCTTCATCGAGACCAGTAAGCGTGTGTGCCATTCTCGCAATGATACAGGTCATATGTTCGACGACATCTATCATCTCTTCGTACAAGTCTCGCGGGAAATCGCCCCGAAGTGGTGGTTCGTATTTTGTTCTCGATAAGAGTAACCGTTCTGTGTTGGTCGATCTCTGGATTCTCGTCAACAACTTTCTGAACGCCTTTGTCGTGTGAGCGCACGGAGAAGAATCGTCTTTTAGGAAAAATGCTATTGTCATTGAATACAACACTCCGACTTGAGATATCGTTCGTGCCAGTCGATGTCTTATTTCTACTCTTCCCGTGTGTGGCCATGGGAGGACAGTCATGATGAAGGCAGTGAATATACCGGTTGCAACCGCCAGCGTACGTTTACCAGCCAAAAGGAAGATATCTTCGTCGAAATGGCCAATTCCGTGTACGTTCTGATATTCATTTCCAAGAATTAACGGGAACGTAATTAACATGATAACACTTCCAACTGTCCACATTCGAGTATTGTGAAATATGAACCAAAGGAATAACGATATGAAGAACAACGCTGCGGCCAATCCGATCGGATTACCACCCGTAACCAACCAAGCGATAATGGCCAATCCGGCTCCGATCAACGATCCACAGATACGACATATGAACTGCAAGATGGCTCCCCCGGTAGTAGGCCAGAATGCCAATATAGCCGTAATAACGGCCCATTGGGCCCGCAAGCTTTGAAACGTTGATGACGTAGATGGTAGAAAACAAGGTAACATTAAAAGTGTAACAATAAGAGTATTCTTCATTGCGAACCGAACGTATTTGCCACCGAGCCAGTTTCGTATCTTCCACAACCGATACCAGAATATTTGAGACTTTGTGTGAGGAACTCTAACGTCAGGATCGCAGAAATCGTCCTCGCCTTCGCCCATGTCGTCATCAATACGAGGATCGGGTTCCACTACTTTCCAAGTTCCTTCCGCGACTGTTTTTCTTACTTGGATGCGTTTTAAGAACGGCATGGGAGGCCACCAGAGTTGTTTCTTCACACGGGACGATTCCAGGTGTTTGACTAGGCCAATAAGAACTTGTAAGCCTACAGCGAATTCTTCGAGGTTGTGTTCGAACAAGAGCAGCAGTAACACTAGTCGTTGTGGGGACGGACTGATGGTTTCATTTTCAATGAACAGATTTTGTAGTCCCTCGTTTCTTGCATCGTGAAACTTTTCCAAAGCGTCAGACATTACAGCCATAGGATCCGGTAGCAAATTCTTGATATCATCTTTGTTACATCCCTTGCACCAGAACTGCCATGATGGATTACAATCATGACGAAGGTGGGCAATGCGAGAAGCGCAGTCTTCGAGACAGATTTGACAGGCTTTGGCGAGGTCGGTACAGTTGGGACGGATGATTTCGAGAAGGCGTTGAAAGTCGCGTGTGTTTCCCGTCGGTGATGGTGGCGGTTCGTCGTCGTCGATATACGATGCGTTTTCGTCCAAAAAGTCAATTCTCACTTCCGGTATGTCGTTGTCATCATCGTATGCGAGTTGTTCTTCTATCATCCCACTCAGAGCTAGTCCGTCTAGGGGCATGTGCATCTGTTTGATGATTTTGGCGATTTCAATTAGATCCACTGGGCCTATTTTCGAGTATGAAATTTCGTGCAATGATTCCCTCTTGACGTTTTGTAGGTTCATTAAATTCTTTTGAGTTTTCTTCTGAAGTGAATAAATGATTGATTTGTTGTAGGTGTTACGGAGGAAAAAAGATGTTTCGTGTTTGAGGAGCGCGTTAAAGTTGTGCAGTGTCTCTATCAAGTGGGGAATATAGTTTGTTGTTCCGTGTTCGGGCCATAAAAGTTGATTTACGACAAGAGAGATGACCGGACCGATGAACATTGGAATTGCCAGATTACGCTTTAAAGGTTCAAAAGGAGAAGGAAAGCGTCAGATAGAGGGAACGATTCTCAAGTGAGACGGAAATTTATGTAGCAAGTTTTATGACACCTAAATTCTTTCTACTTACCAACATTATTTTACTCATGGCGGGTTGAATATATGCTGTTGACAATGAGAATACTATTACAATCAACGCATACACGGATCCGAATCTCATCGTTGGCCATTTAATCTTCACGTAAGATATAACAAACGTTCCAATTGATAAGCTAACGAGGTATATGGCTGCAGCTCCGTAATGGAATATTTCATCTCCGCGCACGTAGTTGCCAAGTTCTATTGCTGTAAATGAAAGAAGAGTGCCGAAGCTTAAGCCAATTATGCCCCAGAATACGCTCTAATCAATACAAGTGGTGGGAATGAGTTAGTAAGGATAACTTGCGATCTTTTTGTTAAAGAGGATGACGAATGTGTACAGCGATAGCAATAGTATGTGGCCATGATAATGATGACAAATGCAGCAAACGATAAAGATATCCGATGACAAGAACCAAAACTTTTAACGTTCACCGGGGAGGTGGGGACAATGTATTACGTAACATATGTCGATCACATCTCAAGTTTATCATATGGCAACGTTTATCATCATATCGAAATAGGTCAACATCAGTCATGCGATCGTGCAAAAAACTAGTCGATCTCAGTCAGCTGGTTGGAATTAACAGGTTTGTAAAAGAGTTGATTGATTTCTAAAGCGGGAAGAGTGGAAAAGAAAAAAGATAAATA